TGGCAGTGGAATGGGACTGAAATAGATTTCCAGTCATTGTCATCAAAGTGGGCAGCTAAGTGGTTGTCTTCCTGCTTATCAATTGCAGACCCAAAGGTCAGAACAATTCCAGCCCCACCTTTGTCCCAGGTCTCCTTACTATAGATGTAGCTTGAATTCTACTTTGTACAATAAATTCATGATATACAAACAATTTTTTTGGACCAAACAGGTGGCTTTTTTTTTGGATTTGATCAGACACATTAAAGCATTAACTTGACATTTTGAAGGTAGAATATTAGAGAAAAAGGATGCTTTATTCATGTTATATACTTTCTTTTTCCATAAAGCAAAGTAGTCTAATTAAATATATTGGAGTTGAGACCTTCTCTAATGATGACTAGTTATCTTGAGAGAAGACACTGATTGGTTAAAACTTCACCTGATGTATGTGATCATAGATCTACAATTTTTTGGTCCATCTCTGGCTACTTTTGTTGTGTATCTGAAGAATAATTGTTCGGAGTTCAGCCATGTTTTTTTTTTTATTGAACATTCATTTCTGTTCCAACTTGTTTTAGTAAATAACATATTACTTGATTTGATGAAACTTGATTCATTACTCAACCTCAGATGAATCACTTATGGGTTTTGTTGAGAGGCAAAAATCAAAGGCTATGATTCTTCAAGGTTGCAAAATTGGCAGTCTAACCCAAATAATGGACACCCCAACTGATGAAGTAACAAAGCAACAGATGGCCAAAACCCAAAGTTTGCTCAGTCATTTTCAGAAAGGTTGTGGGTGTGATAAAGGTAAGAGATTTCTTTTTATTCTTGTCATCAAGTGTCTTAATTGCAGGATTTCTGTTACTTGTACATCTTGATAGTAGAAGAAATTAGTTCCATTATTATGACTAATGATCATGGTTTAGATATATGATTAAGGTGAACATGATTTGCTCTGGATATGAAACCCCACCACTGGTTTGGCCTTATTAGGAGATCCTGTAGGTCAGAAATCAAGACAATGAAGATTTACCCACAATTTAATAATGTGGAAAAAATGATGATGGTGATAGAATAGCTGAGGGGGGAGGGGGAGGGTAATTATGTCAATGTGGCTTCATTACTTTTTCACAAGGTTTGCTATATCTCTATACCTACCTCTTTTGATCTTCTAATGTGATGGTCTATTACTTTCAACTGCAAGTGGGTCAACAATGTTGTCATCCACTCCATCACAAACCATTCTATTTGCATACATATATTCATATGTCTCTGTATGGTGGTCTCATTAAATGAAAACTACAAGCATCCAAATTTATGCTCATTTCATGGACCACCACATCATACTATTTAGTTTTGGAATTTTTTTTTCCAAACAACTAGGAGTCGGAGTTGGACTTCCCTATACTCAGGAGCACCTATACCTGCCCCAAGGCTTGGACTCAAGAGACACAAAAGATTTTTGGTATCAAGTTCACCGAAAAGTTCAAACTTGATACTTCTAAGTCAGTATGACCAAGAGACCTCAAGCTCTTACCAACCAGTCTGTCCCTCAAAGGCTGGTGTTTGAATTTTTTTGTGACCCTTTTGTCCGACTATACTATATTGGAGCTTTCTTGAATCCTCTCTCTCCTCCTCAACATATTTGATTGACAAGAAGCCTAAAATATAATGTTGGATCTTGAATTATGACATATCTTCATGTTTGTCTCTGAAATTTTTTAATCRTACTTTTAAGATTCTATTTATTATGTAATTTTTGTTGTTATAATTTTTGTTCCAACTGTACTGCGTGACCTACACGATGTTAAGTAGAGAGACTCTCTAGAAGCCTCTTCAGCAACTCTCTTGTTATTTTATTTTTATTTTCTTGATGAACAACTCGTGTTTGAAAGCAATTCATTCACAAAGAACTTAAGAGTTTCTTCAACAAAGGCCAAATTGATTCGATCTTTAGCAATTGCAACTATTTCTTTTTTGATAGACAAAAAGAAGTCTAGAACATGATGGTGGATTTTGAACTATGTAACAACTTCGTATTTCATGTTTTTCTCCACATTTTTCCTTATGTATTATACTTTTTATTAAATTGCTTTGTTGCATGTCAAAGCGAGTATAGGTCAGTGGTAATTGACATATATTTCCAATCAAGAGGTTGTGAGTTCGATCCTCCACTTCTGCACTTGTCACATAACTCCTCGAGAACTTTAACAAATAAAACGGAGAAAAGAAATTAGCTTGGATTTCAAAATTGAAACTATCCCACTTTTCTATACCAACCAATTCAAGAGATAAAAATCTTAAAATTTTCTTTTTTTCATTGAATTTGAAATGAATAAATATGGAGAGTATTGGTATTCAATAATAGCCCACATTTCTTCTAGTGTATGCGTGTGGAATCAATCTTAATTATAACGGCCATAAAAGCATGAATGAGAAATTTCCTCTACACCTAAAGCTTAGCCACTTTTACTAGTGGAGACTTGAATCTCTTTCCATCACTACTTTTTTCTAGAGAGAGAAACACAAAGAGAGAGAGAGAGTATTACTTTCTCAAATTCCAAAGTAATTTCAACAGAGACTTTTTTTTTTCTCTTTTTTGTGTCATGTAATAAATGGGAAATTTTTTAAGGATTATCCTCTCAAGAGGTCTGCTTTTGTTTCTGTTGCCAAAATGGATTATTTACAGAGACAATCTTCTCAAGTATTGGAAACAGAAAGGGGAAAAAGAAAGGAAAAGAAAAAGATCTAAATCAATTCCCATCTTAGCAAAAAACATGAAATTTCAAAAATGGAAAAAAAAAATTTGGAAGGAGAAAGAAAGAAAGAAAGTTCCCTTTCTGATTAGAGCTTAAGAGACAGGTCAAGCTTCAACAACTCTTCTTGTTTAGCCTTCACCTTCAAATGGCTGAAACCGCCGCCGCCGCCGTCCCACCAGAACTCTCCGACCTGCTGCGTCGGCGGTGTCGGCATCGGCGTCGGCGGGGAGAATTTCTTCACACCCTCGAAGCGTGCAGCTCCAGTGTTCGACGAAATGCCTCTGAGACCTCCGACGTGGGAAATCCCCTGCTGCACCAGCCGCCCAATCGCCGGCTGCTGACCGAGCGGCTGCCGCGCCCACCCGCTGCCGTGCCCGTAAATTCCCGACGACCCAATTCCAGAAACATCAAAAGAAGGCTTGTGAATCATGGAATGAGCCTGAATTCCAAGCGACCTGCTGAAGGAGCCGTGTAGAGGCAGAGAAGCCATACTCGAATACCGATGCGCGAGCCCGAAATTGGAGCCCGACCCGACCCTTTGGGTCCTTTTGGCGAGTGTCCGCTCTCGCTTGTGGGCATTCTGGTGGCCCCCAAGAGCCTGAGAGCTGTAAAATTTCCTCTGGCAATAGTTGCAGGAGAAAACCCTCGGCTCTGTCTCGCCAGCGGCGGCGGATTCCGCCAAATTCGAATGGAAGCAGTCGATTAAATTGAGTTCTGGGTTCGACCCATGATGAGAATCGTCGTTGCAGAGGCTGAGGTCCAACCCCAGTTCGGAATTGGGGTTTAATTGGTCAGCTTTTGGATCTCCATTTTCAGGGGGCGGTTTTGGACATGGGGGAGATGACTCTGAAGTTGAGATGATTGTTGAAGTTTCGGAAGGAGATAGTTCTGATGTGGGAAGATCCATTGGAGGAGGAGGAAGAAGAAGAAGAAAATTCACAGTAGAGAGAGAGAGAAAAGAGAGGAGAGAGAGAAATTTGGGAAGGTTATTGATATGGTAATAAGTGGTAGTGGGTTTGTATGTATAGCAGAGAGATGGGCACTGTTTTACAGTTAGAAGGTCTTAATATAGGAAGTCAAGCGAATAAGAAGAAGGAGCTTTTCTGATGTTTGGCGCCTGCGTGTGACAGGGTTTCACACATATGGCCTATGTCCCCATTTTGTTTTTTTCCTTTTCGAAAAATAAATATATACTCCGAGTGGTCGGATCAGCTTTTTTTACATCATCTACTAATTTCACGAGACAACCTTATAATCATATAAAATTTGGTTTGTCTTGTATAAACAATACTTTCATGCCAAAAGCGAGAATAGTTCAACGGTAATTGACATATATCTTCAATCAAGAGATTGAGGTTTGTACTAAAAAAACAATACTTTCGCACTGACGAGATGATAGTATTCCTACCCGCTACCCACTTTTTGACAAATAACGAGAGAAGAGAGACTTGTTTGTTTCTTCCCTAAAAAATAGATCCTTGTAAAAAAAAAAAAAAAAGCTTGAGATAGAGGAGATAGAGAAGTGTTTTTCTTTTATATTTTCAGATAGATAGAGTTTGAACTCATACCACCAATGTCCCTTAAGAACCTTTTAGATTTGTGGTGCTGAGTCATATCTTAATAAAACCATTTAGAAAGTCTAGATTTAAGAAAATTGTGTGAGGGGTAGGAAATTTAGGTTCTACATGACGATGACTTGGATAGTAGGTCCTTATTCATGCTCGTTGATTATATTTGAACTTTTGTTAAATGATTAACAAAAACAAAAAAAAAATTAACAAGGACGGTAGAGCTTTGAAATTACTGAAATAAAACCGTTGATAAAGTTTAAGGGGAAGAAATTTGAGAGATTAAAATAAAATAATTCATGAATATTTTTGTCTCCCTAAAAGTTAAAATTGGTAGAAATTAGAGTAAACAACATGATGAGATTTGAGTGCAAAAATGAGATAGGTGGACATGAAGATGCTGTCCATAACGAATAGCGGTGCCGTAGTTTTTACTAAAGATGATTTGTTGATGTCCAATAATTTAATTTTTTCTTAAGATTTTGACTTTTTTTTTTTTTTAAGTTGTCTTATATTGTAATCTCTATAAATTTTACATAATGCTATTTGTTATGTGATGTATTATTAAAACGATGTTAAAAGAAAATTTTCAAATACTTGATATGGTGTAGCAAAAGGGAAATTTAAATATAATTTTAGTTTATAACTTTCGATTTTTGTTTATTTTCATTTCATTTGGGTTTTGTATTTTAAGTTTGGTTCATTTTTAGTTTTTTTTTTTATTTTCAAAACCTTATTTTCTGTTTCTAATTTCTTCATTTTTATTTTCCTCCCATAATTTCTTTCGATCATAATTTTAGCAATTCATTCACTAAATTTCTTGAAATCTAGTCGTGTATTAAAAGATTTCCATGGTGTATAAAATTTGTGCTAAAGAGCTAAATTGGTTGTTTTTTAAATGTACAGATTCCAGAATGGACGTTTGAAGTTCAACAACTAAAATGAATGAAAGTCGAAATTATAGAGACCAAATCAAAATGAACCAAACTATAAGAATATATGGACCAAAATAGTATTTAAAACTAAAAGCAAATATCTCTTCTCTTGTTTTTTTTTATTTGTTAGAAAGTTATTTTTTTTTTGGTTAAAAGAGATTATTTTTTTTGGGTTATAATAAAGTTTTTATTCCGAGAGTTTTTCTTTCTTTTTTTTTAATTTATAAAAAATTCTATTTTGGTTTCTAATTTTAATAAGTTCTAAGAAATTAATCAATGAAAAAATTGACATTATGTGTTTTTTATTGTTGATTAATATCTATGACAAAAAAACTAAACATCACTGTATAATTAATATTCTATGATCTAAAACTAACTTGAATTTAACTCAACTGGTTAAACATTCATCTTTAATTAAAAGGTGTGATTTTGATTAYCCACCTTGTTTTTAAGGAAAAAAGTTAAAAAGATGAAATGAAATATTATTACTAGAAAAATTTTGAACATTTAAGATATTTTTTTGAGTAATATATTTAAGATTGAAAATATTAAAAATAGGTCATATCACTTTTGATAAAAGTTTTAGCTAAAAAGATTGAATTTACGATTTATTAAAATTCAAGACTAAAATAAAAATTTCTAAACATGAGGGACAATGAGGATAAATTTTGGTATGAACTAAAAATTATATTTTAATTTTCCTCATATATATATACATACTTTTAAGGTTTTAACCAATTATTGTTTTTTGAAACAGATTAATTGTTTTATTTTGGGTATATCAAGAACATAAAATATAATGAATCCTCTAAGAAACAAAATTCAAAACAATGATGTGAYTTTTAATATCTTTCTAGACCTGGCTTCAATAAATTTAATGTCACTTCAATCTCTTATCCATCGTTTGAAAAGTTATTCAACATTAATTTGTGTGTCTTCAACTATTTGCTAAGGTATGAATTTGGTCATTACAATAGCAACTTCTTCAAATTAATAATTTAATCAAATCAGCCCAAAATCAATTAATTTGTTGGCATAATCAATCAAGACAACAAGTTGAAGCCACTTCAATTTCTCCTTGTGAAAAGTTTTTTTTTCTTTTAAATTGTTAATTTTTTGCTCTTAATTAATATACTTGTTGATTACGGAATATGTAATTACGACGAGTAGTTATCTTTTTTTTTTTTAATTTCTTCTTTTTTATGCATCAACCTTTTAAATACGATTTTGATGTTTGATAGATAAGAAATCTAGATGGTTAGATCCTTACAAAAATACGAAAAAGCTGTTAAAAAGGAATTCTAACTAATTTATTTTTTACATTATGACATAAATGAAAATTTCTYTCTTTATTTCTTTGAACTATTTTGACTTTTTTAATTTATAAAGCTGATAGTTATGATAAAAGATTGYTTGATAGGAAGCTACGCCGCTACTTGTTAAAAAACTTGAACTTTACATGAGAAAAATTTAATGCTAACTAGGAATAGAAGCTAAATACAAATAATTTTAAGTATTTTCTTAAAAAGAAAAAAACCAAAGTATACTTGTACGACAAGTCGATTRTCGTAGCTAGGCTAAGTCTTGTCGTTTAATTTATTAACCTACTTGATTTCTATTCTCTCTCTCAATGAAAATTTATTTTTTAATTTTCTTTTCAAAGCCTCTAATAAATAGTTGATTTCAAGTCTTGACTCCGCTCCCTCCCGCGTCTTTCTTAATACATTGTAGCAAAAATCTTTTATGTATTTTAAAATATATTATCTATTTCTTAAATTTTCAAATAGTTAGAATTCTAATTTCGGAATGTTACATTATTCCAATTTTACCTTTTTTTTTTCTTTTTCTAGATCTCACGGATAAAATTTATTCGTTTCTCCTTCGTTCATATATCATATAATGATATTAGTAGTATATCATAGGTATGTCACATATATATTGTAAGTACATATATCAGACACTCATATTAGTAGTATATCAGATGTATATTACAAATACTCATTTTAGTATCATATACATATATTACTAGTCAGATATATTACAAATATATTATAGATATATTACAGATATATATCATTTTGGTAAATATGTTATTTTAATATTGGCCCTCCGTTTTTTTGAAAAAAAAATGCTATATTTAAAAGAACTAAATGCAGTTGCTATTTTGCTAAATGTTTTTCCATATTTGGAATTRCCTCTATAATATATCATATATTATCAATATTATGGCTGGTATTTTCTAACATAAAATGAAAAAATACAAAAATTTACAATTAAATCACATATGAAGCATACATATATAATTTTTTTTCTCTATATAAATAATAAAAATAAAACGATCTCCGATGATCTCAACTACTTTTGATTGATGTGCTTAGTTTTATGTTCCTCGATCATATTTCATTTTAATAACATTCAATATATAGTCTTGAATATCTATCAAGTCTTCATACAATATAAAAACATTATTTTAGAATCATTTTCGTTTTTTCTTCTCATCTTTTTACTATAAAGAAATTTATATTCAACGAAAATTGAATACGCGACTTGAATAATTCTCTACCATACCATCGAAAATGTAATTGCCATCTATCTTAATTATTTAATTTAAGTCATTATACTTTTACAAATTTCATTAATACCATCCCATCTTTTGATCAAAACTTGCTACACTACATATGTTCCTACAATTTTGCAAAAAAAAAAAAAACATATATGTTCATACTATAATCTATATAGAGTCGTGGAAATCCAAATGGGTCGTATTCTTGGTTGGGCCTCTAAATGAACGATAAAAGTTCTAGTCTCTCGTTCTACTTTTCAGTCAAAATAATATTTTAAAACCGGATCAAAACTCATACTTCAATTAATATAACTCGTCAAAGTCCCAACATCACGAAAATAAAATGTTCCACATTCAGAAATAACTTGATATAATATATATGCTGAAACTTCAATTATTCTTAGCGGATACTAGTAATTCTTAACATGGTATTGAAGAATATCATTACTATTACTAAAAAAAAATGGAATACAAGTTTGTATCAAAGTATAAGAACGATAATAAAAATTTAATGGTAGGGAATCAAATTGAAACTTAAGGCTAAAATATAAAGACGGACTAAATTTATAACTCAACTACATTTTTTTAATATCACCTCTCTCACAATATCATCAAAATATATGACTGTGAAACATTATCACTTAATTTTTATATATCTATGTGGTTTATGAGAGAACTATTTCATTTTTATGACTATAATTTCTCATAGTATATGACTTTTTGTGAGTGTAGAATTTGAATCATAGAATACAAAAACAATGATGAGTTAGTGGGAAGAGAGGATTGTGACTTCAAATACATTAGAAGAAATGCCTCTTTGTCCACTCAAAGCTAAGCACTTATAAATAAAAAAGAAATTTCACATCCATTTTTGTGGTTATATCCAAAGTTGAATATATATATATATATCTTCACAAATTTAATTTAAAGGGTTAGGTAAGCATCCACAAGTGGTATTATTCATCCAATCAACTTCTTTCTATTATCACATCCTTTAATTTGTGTAAACCCTACCATCTTGTTCATTTCTCTTTTTTTTCCCTTTCAAAAAATACAAATACAGTTGGGGTGATGGGACAATTTGAATCTTAAATATAAATTT